ACAGGGGAGAGAGAGAGAGAGAGAAAGTAAGAAATCACCCCCTGGGGAAATGGCCATGCCACAATCCCTTCTCCTCAATTTTCCTCTTGGGATTTTGGGCATGCATGTATATATGCCTTGGTGTGATTTTTGAGCTCTCAAGTTGGGGACTTGAACTGCGGTCAGTCGTGTGGGAGTCTAGTGCCTTAACCCACCTGCCGGTCCCAAGAGCCTATTAATTTTTGGTTCATATTCCATATATGGATCAGTTTTCAGATACAATGACATTATCTAAGCACTATATCATTGGATTGTATGCACAACATCAATCATGTTGGGAGAAAGGGATTATTTTTCTTTTCTTTCTTTTTTCAAAATAATTATTCTATATAATTTTATTTATTTGTTTAACTTGACCAGAGAGAGACAGAGTGATAAAGATAGATAGATAGATAGAGAGAGAGAAAGCCATCAGGTCCAAGACTGGAACCATGGTTGGCCACGTGGGAGTCTAGCACCCTCAACCACCATGCCACCTGCCGGCCCCTATTTTTATTTTTTTAAAGAATTATTTAATTCCCTTTGTTATCATTATTTTTTAATTTGACCAGATTGAAACAGAGAGAAAGGGAAAGCAAGAAAGCAAACCACCAGGTTTGAGACCCGGACCACGGTTGGCCATGTAGGAAACTAACGCCCTTAACCACCACTCCACCTGCTGGCCCCCAAAAGGGGTTATTAATAAAATACTTTCTAGTACCTAGTATGTGGCTTCTTCCATGTTTGTGATATGTGATTTATGAAAATAATTTTTCATTGTGAAAAGAGGTCCTAACAGGGGCCAGCAGTTGGCCTGGTGGTTAAGGAGCTGGACACTCCCACATGGCCGACCACAATTCAAGTCCTGGACCTGGTAGCTTGCTTTCTCACTTTCCTTCTCTCTCTCTGGTCAAAGTAAAATAAATACATGAATAAATAAAAAATTAATTCTTAAAAAAAAAAAAAAAGAGATCCCAACATAATGTGCTTTCAGAAAAAAGATAAATAATTTTTCTTGTTAATTTTTGGAGGGACTTTTAGTGTTAATGTTTGAAATCCATTTATTTATTTATTTGAAGAGGTTTTTGTTATAGGGTATGTGTGCTCACTGGAAAGAGAGAGAGAGACAGAAAGTGAGAAATCACCACCAAAGGGGGGGATGGTCATGCCACCATCCCTTCTCCTCTATTCTCCTCTCAGGATCTTGGGCACGCACGCACATGTGCCCAGCGTGAGTTTCAAGCCACTGGGTCCAGGACTCAAACTGCGGTCGATTACATGGGAGTCCAGAGACACAGTCATTTATTACGCCAACTCCTGGTCCCTAAATGAATTTATTTAAATGCTAATAGTGGCAGCACATACAGTCTGCTATATTTCTTCAAAAAAATTTTTTTTGAACAATTTACTTTATTATTATTATTCAATTAGACCAGAGAGAGACAGAGAGACAGAAGAGACGATGAGTAAGAAAGCAAGCTGCCAAATCCAGGACTCGAGCTGTTGTCAGTCATGTGGGAGTCCAGCACCTTAACCATCATATCACCTGCTGGCCCCAAGAAGGGATATCTCTCTTTCTCTCTCTCTCTCTCTTTTTTTTTTGGCTACAGGGCATGTGCACTTCACTGGAGAGATAGAGAGAGACAGACAGAAGGGAAGAAATCACCCCCTCCCCACCCCCCGTGGGGGGATTGGCCATGCTGCAATCCCTTCTCCTTCTGTCTCCTCTCAGGATTTTGGGCACAACGCACACATGCCCAGTGTGAATTTTCCTGTGTGTTTTGTTTTTTTGGAGAGGTTTTTGCTATAGGGCGCATGCGCTCGCCAGACAGACAGAGACAGAAAGCAAGATATCCCCCCCCAGGGGGGATGGCCTCACCGCAATCCCTTCTCCTCCATTCTCCTCTCAGGATCTTGGGCATGCACGCACACGCGCCTGGCATGAGTTTAAGCCACCGGGTCTGGGATGCGAACCATGGTCAACTACATGGGAGTCCAGTGATATAGCCATTACACTAACTGCTGGTCCGCCTGGTGTGAATTTTAAGCTGCCACATCCAGGACTTGAACTGCATTTGATCACGTGGAAGTCTAGTGATGTAATCAATATGCCATCTGCTAGTCCTAGGATATCTTAATAATAGCTGTTAATACGAGTTTGACAGAAGCTTAAAGACTGTCTGAAAGACTTGTTTCCCTCACCTTTTTGGACCTCCAACAACGGCAGTACACAGCTTTGTCTCCCAAATCTTCCATGTCGAAAGCATGTACTACCTTGGGGTTGTCTTTCTGGATGTGAAGGTTTACCATAGATTTACTGCGATGATCTTTAACGTAAAATCTTCTGTAAGCTAGATAACCAATTGCTGCTGTCCCAGCGGCAATGGTAACTGCTGCGATCCATTCAACTAGAGCAGGGAAAGAAAACAAGAATTATTATCCAAATCAACATAGAAACTAATAATCTAACATGTTTGGGAAATTCAGTTTTTGAGTACTAAGCATTCCAACAGCCTAAAGTTTTTCATGTTAACACAAGGAACAGCACACACTGGTGCAATAAATAGTCTTTTGTTGTGATTTCCCCTAGTCCTTACTGAGCTAAGTGTGCATTTTCTATTAAGATACAAGAGGGAGGGTCCAGCAGGTGGCAGGGTGGTGTCTTTTGTTGTGATTTCCCCCAGTCCTCACTGAGGGAAGTGTGCATTTTCTATTAAGATAGAAGAGGGAGGGTCCAGCAGGTGGCAGGGTGGTTAAGGTGCTGGACTCCTACATGGCTGCTCATGGTTCAAATCCCGGGCCTGGTGGCTTGCTTTCTCACTTTCCCTCTCTCTCTGTCTTTCTCTGGTGAGCCCACATGCTCTATAGCAAATTATAAACAACAATAATAAATAATATAATAATAAATTAAAAAATAATTAAAAAAAGAAAAACAAAACAGAAGAGAGAAATCTATGGCCTGGTGGTTAAGGCAGCTGGATCCGGCATCGCTGACTGTGAGGTACAAGTCAGGGACCCAACAGATTGAGAAATATGCCAAGTGCATGTGTGTGCCTGCCCAAATTCCTGAAAGGAGATTAGAAATGTAGAAGAGACTGCAATGTGACCATCCCCCATGGGAGGTGCTTTCTCACTTTCCCTCCCTCTTTGTATGTCTCTTTTTCTGGCAAGAGTATGTGCCCTCTGGCAAATTAAAAACAAACCAAAATAAAACAGAAACATACAAATTCATATTATAAACAAGAAAAAAAATCAGAAGATGATTATGTTAACACAATGACTCATCAGAATTCAAAGAGCAAGGTCCTTCAGTGATTAATTTTTTTTTCTTTATTTATGATAAAGTGCACACACATACGTGAGAGAGAGAAAAAAACCCAAGCACCTCCACAGCATCTGGTCACATTGCAATCCCTGTCTTCTAGCCCACTGGATCGTGTGCATCTGAAAAATGCCTAGTGCGTTTCAGGCGACTGGGCTGGGGATTCAAACAGCGATCGCTATGTGGGTTCTGGCTTCTCTTGAGCAGGGCATTACTGTTGTAACACAGAGCCAGCCTTTATTAGTTATTCTAAAGGCATAACTACAAACAGAATGGGTATCTAAAGAAAAAACAAAAAAAGGCAACTAAAAACCATTCTAATGCTAAAATACCCTGGTGTGTTTTATTAAAATAAAAGTCAGAATGTACTCATTTCATATTGCTTCGAAAACATGATTAATCTAATATGTTACTTCTTCATTTAATAAATTCTAAATTTCTATTATCTACAGTGGGTGATTATCTTAACTCATTACAAATTTCATTTTAATATTTAATGACACTATTTCACTTTCTAATAATAATAATACTAGTAATGATAAAAGATTTGTTTAACTAACAGGCCATCTATTTATTCTTTGTGTGCAGCTTTTTAAGGCGTCCTCAGAACCCCAAGTGCTTAACAACTACCCCAGCTCCAGGCAAGGTTGGAGAGAAGAAAGTTCTGCATAATCTGGTTAGCCTCAGCCTCAGAGGAGAGTTGTCTATTCCCAGCATGGAGCGGGCTGTAGGAAGAAGTTGAACAGGGGTCAGGATAAACACACTGGACTGCTTCCCAGCACTTCCTGAGTCAGATCTTCACAGTGTTTGAAATAAGTTCCCAGACTATCAAAGAAAGCCCTAGAGAGATAAGTACAAAAATAAAAGAAACACGCACATACACATTCCAAGACCAAATAAAAATACACAAAATATAATGAACTGTATGGCTTATTTGAGCTACTGTGTTCAATTTCTCACTTCCCTCACGTGATCAATGGCCATACCTAATAGTGCCTGCCTTACATCAAATTGGAGTTGACTCTTACACAACTTGAACGGAAAGGAATGACATCCTCACACTTCGTTTTGGTCTTCTCTTGTTGAAAAAATGAGGTTTTAATCAAACGTTCCTCGGATTCTATTTTCAACCACAGTAGTAGTTGGCTTCACAATGTAATTTAGGTTGTTCTCCTTACCACATTACTAGTCCTCCTCCCTCCAAGCCTCTACAATACACGTTAGTGGTTTGTCCTTGCCAGATGCTGCACGACGTGAGAAAACACGCCAATAAGTCATCTGATGACACAAACCTTTGGCTTCTTCAGAGGATAATGTTTCTAAAATACTTTGTGTATGTCTGTCTTGGAATTTCGTATTGCTCCTCGGTTTACCCTGTGGGTCATTCCAAGCAGGCTACAACTTTGCTGTCATTTCTAGCCTGATTCAGGATCTTCCTTCCTAATGCATTAGTTAGCATGGAACTTATTTGAGAAAATATTCTCTGTGTCAGAAGTGACAGTGATCTGTTTCTTAGCTAATAGCCACTCTGGATAGCGAATGTACCTAGCACAGAATAGGCTAAGACACGATTTGCATGGCATATGCTCAATAATGCTTGCTGCGTGGTGTCTTCAGTATAAACCATAAAAGTGGGCAATGTCATGAGAGACTAAAAGAATGCAACTCCCCAAATATTGCTAATCTTACAATTTGCTAAATATTGTTCATCTTAGTTATACCTTAGGTGAATTATGAAATACTTCCTAACATATTTGTTTCAACGGTGCCTATATACTGCAAAAAGTACTGAAATCCAAAAACTATAATTGGCTAGCGTTCATTTGTCTCATGATATAAAAAAGAATTTTTGTATGAATCTCTACACGAAGCACCAAAGGTCAAAAATCTCTCCTGGTCATTATAGTCCCTATTTCTTTTTTTATGCTACCAACTGAATTCATATGGTGACTTAAAAAAAAAAAGTCAATGTGGAATCATGGCATGCACTCTGTGACCCTAGCCCTTAGTCAGGGTCACTTATGATCCTATGCAAACATTACAGTGCCGTATAAGTGTGCTGGGGAAACAGGTTCGTAAATGCTCCAAAAACAAGTTTTTCAAAATTACAGAGCTAGATAAGGTCTTAAGGAAAAATTTTCTTCTTTGTCTAAATTCTAATTCTCTAATCTTATTAGGGACAAATTTCAGAGTTCCCAGAAGTATGAAAAATGTTGCTATTTTTTCATTTCATTATTGTAGCCTGAATCAGTCTTATCTGGCAAAAAGCTGTGGATACCACTGGCAATTCCAGGGAAAAGAAAGAAAATGATAGTAAACAGAGATAAACAAAAATGGTGACAGACTCAAACTAACAACTAGAATAAGAAAAGAACTGAAGACCCGAAAAAGTAAACAGGATAAAATCCAAGCAACAGTCAGTCCTTGGGGTACATGCCTATTAAGAATAGCCACAATCACAAACAAAAAATTCCCCAAAATCCACTGTAATCTCAGAGCCAATAAGAGAATTTATACTAAAACATAAATTTTAAAGATATTTCAGTTGGCACCTTTCAGACACTGGTTCAGACTTAAGGTCCAGAGAAATCCTCACCATTATTTTTGCCTCTTCTGGTTTATCCCCACTTCCCTTTCCTATAGACATTTCTCAAGGAACAGTTATTCCGTCCTTAGATCAAACTCCACCCTACTCAACTCTTCCTACAAATACCGCTTAAGAACCAACATACAGAGAAAAGTAACATTTGCAAAGAATCCCCCACTTTCTTACTCTTCCCTAAGCCTACTATTGTGTAACCAGTTTTGCTCTTAAAATTATTCCAAGGTGAATAAACCGTAACGTTGCTTCCAAATCCCATACCCTTGTTTTCCCATTCCTTGGATTCTTTACCGTAAGGACTATTTTGCTTTAATTTGAAAAATCTCACATTTCCTTTTCTTTTGCCCCTTTTCTGCCCCAAACTGTTCTCTCCTGCCCTCTGGCAACTGCCATGGAATCAGAATGTTCCTCTTCTAGAAGGAGAGGGGGAGGGGAGCCTTGTTTAAACTGTTCCCGCCCTCAGATGTTCCCCAATTTGTGGTGTGCCAGGTGATGATTTTTTCTCCAGGGATGGCCTATACATGGTGTTTTTTTCATCAAGGCATAGCCTATACGTGGTGTTCACGTTAGCTGAGTAGAAAGTAACAAGGGGTAACTAATTTGAACTTCCAATTTCATCTGTCCATCCTACCATGGCACTGTCCTTACGGCACTGCTCTTCCACTAAATGCCTTATCTCTGCCCACTTTCTTTTCCTGTTTCTAAAGAATTATTTTACTGGGACCAACAGATAGCATGTGGGTAATGGTGCTAGACTCCCACATGGCTGACCATGGTTCGAGTCCTGGAGCTGGTGGCTTGCTTTCTCACTTTCCCTCTCTTTCACTCTGTCCCTCTCTGGTCAAGTTTAAAAACAAACAAACAAAGGTTAAATAAAATAGCTCTTTAAAAAAAGATCATTTGTTATTATTATTTAATTTGCTATAGGGCATGTGCACTTAACAGAGAGTGGGAAAGTGAGTTTCTAGGTTTGGGACCTGAACCACCTTATGGGAGTCCAGAGCATTAACCACAGCAACCTGCTAGCCTCATCTCTTAATCTACTGGATTGAGCATGGAATTGACTTGCTGAGATTAAAAAATAAAAATAAAAACTTTATTACGGAACATTTCAGACATACACAAGGAATATTACAATGACCTTCCATTTAGCTCACCTAGCTCCAACAAGTATCAACTGATGGTCAATCCTGTTTTAGCTGTAATTCGAAATCCCACCCCCTATTATTTATTCATTGTTTTTATAACCTATAGGAGCTATCACTTTTGTTCTTAGTATGATCTTCATATTCTTCTCAGACAAAACCCCATTAAATAGTTACTTTAAATGACTCAGTAAGTTTCCTGAACCAAAACAGTACTTTCCTATGTTGAGGTTAAATGAATTAGAAAATTATGAACTGACTTCAATAAAATACACAAAAATATAAAAGAGAATACAATTTTTTAGAGGATTTTTTTTTTTTTTTTTGCTATAGGATGTGTGTGTTTGCTAGAGAGAGAGAGACAGAGAGACAGAAAGCGAGAAATCATCCCCAAGGAGGGATGGCCACGCTGTAATCCTGTCTCCTCTATTCTACTCTCGGGATTTTGGGTACACATGCACACGTGCATGGTGTGAGTTAAAGCTACCGGGTCTGGGACTCGAACTGTGACTGACTATGTGGGAGTCTAGAGACGTAACCGTTTTGGCACCTGCTGGTCCCCAGGGATTAAGAATTTATTAATGTAGTCTTAGTTATATGTATTGTAGTGGTCAGAGTTTGGGGTGACTAACAAAATACAAGATGTACAGACAAATCCCTATTGTATAACTTGAGGATGAAGCAAAGTACAAAAACCTGATGATTAAGGTAGCCAGATCCCAAATGACCAATAATGTGGTTTGAGTCCTGGACCTGACTGCTTGAGAAACACACCTGGTGCATGTATGCCCCAAATCCTGAAAGTGGGAGAAAAAAGGTGAATGACTACAGTGTGGCCGTTTTCATTGGGCGTCGCTTTTTCCTTCCGTCTTTGTCTGTCTCTTTGGAGAGCACAAGTACTCTCTAGCCAAGAGGAAAAAAAAAAAAAAAGGTCGCTTTTTCCTTCCTTCTTTGTCTGTCTCTTTGGAGAGCACATGAACTCTCTAGCCAAGAGGAAAAAAAAAAAAAGGTAATGGTAACTTGAGGAGAAGACCAAGAAGACTTTAAAGGATATGGCAGGTGGCATGGTGGTTAGGATGTTGGATTCCCACATGGGTGACCATGGTTCGAGTCCCAGACCTAGTGGCTTGCTTTCTCATTCTCCCTCTCTCTCTCTGGTCAAACTGAATAATAATAATAATAAATGAAATGAAATAAGTAACTTCAAAAAAAGGCTTTAAAAATATTTGCTTTACTTGGCCTTTCTTTTTTTTTTTAGGTTTTTGCCTTAGGGTGCATGTGCTCATCAGAGACTGACAAAGCAGACAGTGAGAGAGAGTGAGATATTACTCATGACGGATGGCCATGTCACAATCTCTTCTCCATTTCCCTCCCAGGATCTTGGGCATGCTCGCACACACACTTAGCATGACTTTCAGGTTACCGGGTCAGGGACTTAAACTGCGGTCAGCCATGTAGGAGCCCAGCAATGTAACTGCTACGCCACCTGCACTGGACTTGGCCTGTTTTAAGAAAAGATAAGTGACTTAGGAGTCACCCTGAAGAGAAGAAAATTCTTATGAGAGGCTTAAAGATTTAAAAGGGGAACCAGCAGATGGCATAATGGTTATGTCACTGGATTCCCACATAGTCGACCACAGTTTGAGCCCCAGATTCTGGGGCTTAAAACTCATGCTGGGCGGGACCAGCAGTTAGCGTAATGGCTATGTTGCTGGACTTCCCCGTAGTTGACCGCACTTTGAGTCCCAGTGGCTTAAACTCACGCTGGGCGCGTGTGTGTATGTGTCCAAGATCCCGAGAGGAGAATGGAGGAGAAGGGATTGCGGCGTGACCATCCCCCCTGGGGGGTGATTTCTCACTTTCTGTCTCTGTCTGGCGAGCGCACGTGCCCTAGTGCCCTATAGCAAAAATCTCTCCAAAACAAAACAAAATAAAACCCAAAAAACTCATGCTGGGCATGTGTGCGTGCATGCCCAAAATCCCAAAAGGAGAATGGAGAAAGGATTGCCTTGCGGCCATCGTCCCCTTCCCATGGGGTGATTTTCTCGATTTCTGTCTCTCTCTCTCTAGCAAGTGCATGTGGCCTATAGCAAAAAAAAAGAAACTCTAAAAAAAAAAAAAAAAAAAGATTTTAAAGGAACAGTATAGGTGAGGCAAGAGTTTAAAGAAACAGAAGAAAATAGCATCAGGAAGAGAGAATGGCCTCAGAGTTAATCTTCATTGCAAACGAAGGAGAAAAGGTTAAGGATTGAAAGCAGACTCGAGTTTTGAAGGTACTGATTGTAGGAGGCTGTTCAGAAAGGTCATCTATTTAGTATGAAGAGGAATAATAAGATTAGGAAGTGGACACTGTGGCCACCATTTAGTGCTAAACTATAATAAACTAATGGTCTCATCCACTAAACTGATACCAAGAGCCATCAGTCATCTCACTGACCAGGATCTTTTAACAGGTTTCAATTCCAATCACTCCTTTTGTTGACTCTCCCTGATTCAAGTTCTGGCCAGTTTACCATTAATTCTTATTTTCTAAACCTTTCCTTGTATTTCTTCTAAATATAAGAATTCTGCATACATACAAACACTCTTTTATTTTTATTTAAAATAAAAGTGATCTTCAAGAATGTCATGAAAATTGTGCATTATGAAAAAACTCTGCATGGATTTCAAAGTTTCTTTTGCATTAAAATAAACATGAATTGGGCTGGCAGGTGGTGGGGAGCTGGACTTCCACATGGCTGACTGTGGTTTGAGTCCCAGATGTGGTGGCTTGCTTCCTCACTTTCCCTCTGTCTTTCACTGGTCAAATTGAAATAAATAAATAAATAAAAACAAATAAAATTAATCTTTTTCTTTGGAGAGGTTTTTGCTATAGGGTGCATGTGCTCACCAGAAAGACGGAGAGAGACAGAGATAGAAAGCGAGAAATCACCGCCCCTAGGGGGATGGCCACGCCACAATCCCTTCTCTTCCATTCTCCTCTTGGGATCTTGGGCATGCATGCACATGTGCCCTGCGTGAACTTAAGCCACTGGGTCCGGGACTCGAACCGCGGACTACATGGGAGTTTAGCGACATAGCCATTACGCCAACTGCTGGTCCCAAAGTTCAATAAATCTTTAAATAAATAAATAAACACGTATTAACTTATCATAGTAGTTTGAACTGTATCTAGTTTGAGGCATTATGAAGGATAAGAGTTCCTATCAGAGTAACATAAATTCTGATAAAATTGAAGAACAAGCATCAAAATGTTGGTGAAGCTTGGGCAGAAGAATGGTGAAACCATTAATGGTTTACAAAAAGTTTAAGAGGACAATGTCCCATGGGGCCAGCAGGTGGCGTGGTGGTTAAGGGCACTGGACTCCCACAGGACTAGCTGCGGTTTGAGTCCCAGACATGACAGCCTACTTTCTCTCTCTGGTCAAATTAAAATAAATAAAGTTAAATAAAATGATCCTTAGAAAAAAAAAAAAAAGGAGGCCCCAAATAAGTCAGTAGCTTACAAACGGGGACATATTTTAACAAGGGAGGAGATGATGTTGAAGATGACATCCATAGCAGCAAACTATCTGCAACTTGTGAGGAAAAAATTAATCTTGTTCATGCCCTAACTGAAGAGAACTTACAATTAACAGGAGAAACAATAGCCAATCAGTTTAGCTTAACTTTTTAAAGAGTTATTTAATTTTATTTATTCATTCATTTTAATCTGACCAGAGAGAAACACACACACAGACAGAGATAGACGGGGGGAAAAAGAGAGAGAGAGAGAGAGAGAGAGAGAGTGAGCCAGCCAGCCACTAGGTCTGGGACTCAAATCATGGTCAGCCATGGGAGTGTCCAGTGCCTTAACCACCAAGTCACCTGCTGGTTCTCCAGTTTATATAACTTTGACTGAAAAAGTAGAAGTGGAGTGAGCATTCTGCTAGATGGGTGCCACACTGTTGTATCCAGATCAGCTGCAGATAAGAGCAGCACTCTCAGTGGATATTTTAAACAATTGCTGTTAAGACACTAAGCACTTTTTTGAATTGTAACAGATGAAACATGACTTTACTAGAACAATGCTGAAGACAAAGCACAATCACAGCAATGGTCACCAAGAGTTGAAAGGGGTCTAGTCAAAGCAGAAGTATGGTGGTCAAGAGCAAAGTTAATAGGGGAACCAGCAGTTAGTGTAATGGCTATGTCGCTGGACTCCCACGTAGTCGACCGTGGTTCACATCCCGGACCTGGTGGCTTAAAAAACTCATGCCGGGT